TGTGATATTTCAGTTTTTCTTTTTTAATAAATCTGCAAAAATGTCAACGATTCTGTGTTTTTCTGTCAATATGGGGTGCTGTGTGTACATTAATGAGGAAAAAAAATTAACTTAAATGATTTTAGCAAATGGCTGCAATATAACAGAGTGAAAAATTGAAGGGGGTCTGAATACTTTCCGTACCCACTGTATATATATATATATATTTGGAAAGTTATAAATTATTACACGTGGTGTGCAAAAATGTAAATGAGAATACAACAACTGATATATTTTAAGATTTTGTTACAATATTACACTGTGCACTAACTTTATTTTTATAAGTCAAAACCTTATTTGAAGTGATTCATTGTGAGAAACCTAAATGTCACATACCAGGAGAATATACTACATTAAAAAAAAAAAAGAATTAAAGCCAATAGGTCAAGCATGTGGCCAAAGAATCTCCCATGATGCATTTGGAGTTGGGGTTCACAGAAGCCAATGTGGAAACAGGCCAAAAGTGACATTCTTCCAAAAAGCTGTAACCTTAACTGCCCCTCCTTGCGTTCTAGACCATAAACTGCATCCGAGCTCTAAACAGAGTCCAAAATCATATTCTATCTATCAGAATACCTCTCCAATGGGAAATAACCAGAGTTTCCTCAGGAGCAGCACAGCTGTTTCCCTCTGAGAGAAGAGAGACCGAGAGAGCGAGAGACAAACGAAGGGAAAGACATGGCCTGTGCTTCCTGACCTCAAGCTACCTGAATCCACCCATCAAATGCCAATGCAATTTTTTCAATGCATGTAGTTTACTCTCATTCAAATAATAATAATAATTATTATTATTAAATGGAGAGCACTGTGCTTAAGTTTTCTGTTTCTGCTTTCAAATATTTCTAATCAAATTCTCCTAAAATTATTAAATTATTAGTTGTGCAACCCACATTAGTTTTATCTACACTGTGTCATCAAGTCTTAGGAGAAATATCTTACAATACTACAGTTTTTTGGGGCATTATACGCATTGGACAAATACTAGAAGCCCTCTATATTTGTGTTTGCATGAAATGGGAGGAAGAGATTTAGAAGAAGAATTTCAATGAATATTTGTATGACAAAAGGGATAAAAATATTATTAAAGACAGCGCAAATGCAAATGTTTGAGACACTACCTCATTCTATACTTTCATTCAGAGCTGTACTGCCACCTAAGTCAATTTAATTTAGCAGAGAAACGGTCTCAAATCCTAGAATGCAACCTTAAATGACAAACTGGCAGATATTTCAATCAAGTTGAGAGGCTTTTTCTTCTTAGATTTTCCTCTGCAGGCGTATTTTAAGTGAAAAAACACATGAGATGTGTACATTTTGATATAGTATTTTTCCCTTCTTTTTACTGCTCTTGCTGTCTCAGATGACCACTTGTGTCTCTCCTTCTGTCTCCCTCAGCTTTTTTCTCTCTTTTGCACACATAAAAGCGATAGAAATAAATACAAAGATACATGCAGAGTTGCAGAAATGAGCAGCACACATTCACACTCAGGTTTAATAAGCAAAGAGTCGAGTCTCCGGGGCAGCTGCAGTTTTGGGTCAAAAGCAAACAGGACTAAATCTCTGCTGTCACCTCAGTGATGTATGACTAGCGATGGGGATTTTTCAACATGTGGGTGCCTACATGGTGGTAATGCATGCTGCTTCTTAGTTAGAGAGTGCAAAATGTCACGTTTTCCACAAAATATTAAACCATTTTCAACATTGATAATAATGGGAAACGTCTCTTGAGCACTAAATCAGCATATTAGAATGATTTCTGAAGGTTCATGTGACACTGAAGACTGGAGTAATGATGCTAAAAATTCAGCTTTGCATCACAGGAATAAATTACATCTTAAAATATATTAAAATAGAAAATAGTTATTTAAAATTGCAATAATATTTCACAATATTACGGTTTTTAATGTATTTTTTACCAAATAAATGCAGCCTTGGTGAGCATACCGCTGAATCGCTCACCGTACCAAAAACATTGGCTTACCACACACACAAAGACATAGAAAAAAAACCTGTTAAGCAGTTCAAGCACTCGTCCATGACTCTGAGCTGAGGTGGCAGTGGTGACCCATTACTGAAACCCCCTACTGCTTTTGGCAGTCAAACGAGCGCCAATTCTCTGAAAAGAAGCTGAGAGACTGAAGCCTGGTTTGGCCCAGCTCTGAGCGCTTTGATGCCGGGGTGAAGGGCGTCGTGGCAGCCTCGTGTGACTCTCACTGGACTTTCTGTAAATCAGTTCAATGGGATTCCTGAGACAAGGCCCAAGATGGATGGGTCTCCTGGGGCTTGTAAGGAACGTTCGGTTCACCATGGCAGCCTGCTTGGCAACCTGAAGCCACTGAAAGCTCCAGAATATATTAGCATTAGGCTTCTTAAATCAAGAGTGGCGATTTTCATATTTGTTACTGATTATGACATTGTAAAATCAAAATACAAATTTTATGTCAGAGATGTGATTAGATCACATGCTCTAGACATGTTGAGCAAGAGATGATGGAAAGGAACTGAGATATTTTCCTAGTGGGCTGATTACTAAAAAATATAAAAGCTGTATATTCACTTCCGTTAGAAATTTTGGGGCTAGTAAGATTTTTTTTTTAGAAAGAAAGAAATTACTTTTATTCAGCAATGACACTAATTGACTAACAGTAATGACATTTATAAATGTTATATAAGATCTGTATTTCAAATAAATGCTGTTCTTTAAAACTGTTCTTTCTATTCATCAAAGAAAGCGAAACAATGCATCACAGTTTCCACAAAAATACTAAGCAGCACAACTGTTTTTTGAACATTAATAATAATAAGAAGAAAGGTTTCTTGAGCAGCAAATCAGCATATTAGATTGATTTCTCAAGGATTATGTGACACTGAAGACTGGAGTAATGACTGCTGAAAATTCAACATTGCATCAGGGGAATAAATTACATTTTAAAATATATTAAAATAGAAAACAATAATTTCAGATTCGAATAATATTTCACAATATTACTGTTTTAACTGCATTTCTGACCAAATAGATGCAGGCATGGTAAGTATAAGAAACTGACCCCAAACTTTTGAACGGTACTGTATTAAAATTAAATTAAATTAAATTAAATTAAATTAAATTAAATGTAATTTAATTTAATTAAATTAAAAATAAATAAATAAATAAAATTAAATAAAATTCTTTGAAAATTTTTCTAAATACAATTAAAATTAAATTAAATTAAAAATAAATAAAAATAAATAAATAAATACAATTAAATCAAATTCTTTGAAAATTTTTCTTTTGTGCCCAATCACCTGCAATACTTGCTAATACTCTTCTTATCAGTCAAATTCAGGCTCCAAGCTCCAGAGTTCCTCTCCTGTGGTGTGTTGGAGGGTGTCAGGTGCTATGAAAAGATAAGCCAGCAGCGCTGCTGACTGCAGCTTTTGTGTGAAGCTGATCTTGATAA